CTTGTGGAACTCTTACCTTTTACCTCTCATTTTACTTTCCCTTCCCTCCTTGACCATTAATCCACAATGATGCCAATACCAACTGTTTTGAAGATTTATTTAAAATACCCTTTGACTTTGGGTGTATTCATTAAGCTCTCCTGTACTTGCTTTTTATTATTGGTGAGATCTGTGTTATAGCGTATAAATTAACATTATGGGGATTAAGTAAGTTCCAAGCTTTTGCTAGTGTACCAGTTTTTTCCCCTAGGCAATACTTTATTCCCATACCTGCAGAAGACCAGGTTGAAGGAACCATTAAATTAGTCTTCAGAGAAGGGAGAATTCGTGAGGGGAAAAAAAAAATCCTTAAGTTGACTGTTGCAGTTACGATAACATAAAATAGTGATTTATGAGCTTGTTGCGGTGCAGGCCTGGAAGAGAAATTAAGGTATTGCACATGCATTTATATTTTGGCACAAGTAGAGCTGTGTCAGTTTGTATATTATAAAATAAAATAGGCTTTTAATTGAAATTCTGGGTGGTTGGGGAATAATCTTGAATTGTTGATAGTTTAAAATTTAATGGATGTAAATCTTCTCTTTACCTCTTATTTCTAGCACATAGTTTACAATTGGGTTAAACTGCTATGAGGAGAATGCTTTCCACATCTACCTCTAGTTTCCACTGGGCGATGTATGTATTTCAGTCTTTTAGGTATCCACACAAAAGAAAGTAGATAGGACCAATTGTCATTTATTGTGTTCAGTTTTTGAAGGGATTTTGTGGCAAGATAAACAGAGTGCTCCTCGCTTTCAGGCTTTACTTCTACTTCTTACCCCACCCTGAATTTTGTCTTTTGTGGGTTCTTCTTTGAGAGGAGTTGTTGTTTTCAGGATTGTCCTTCAACTCTATGAATAATGGCCAGCTTCAATTTTGCCAGTTCTAACCATTCAAAAATCACAAGATTGTCTCTAAACTGTGAATTAAAAACATAAGAATGTATGAACATAGGAACTGCCATTTAGTGGGTCAGATCGTAGCCCCATCTTGCCCAGTATCCTGTGTCACGCAGTGGCAGAGAGTGGATGCTGAAGAAGAGAGTGAATTGAGTGAGACCAGGGCTTTTACCACTGTTCCTCTCTCACTTGCAGCCTCCAGCATTTACAGGAAATTCTGATTCAGAGGCTGTATCCCTAACTCCCATGCTTAATGGTTATAAATGCCCTTTGCCTCCAAAAATTTGTCCAATCCCTTTTTTAACCTGGCTAAAATGCCAGCTTGCACAACATCGGGTGGAAAATGAGTTGCACAGTTTAATTACATGTATAAAAAACTAACCCTTTGTTAGTTTTCAACTTATTACCTACTGGCTTCATTTTGTGACCCCTAGTTCTTGTATTGTGAGAGGGAGTAAATGATACACCCCTACTTACGTTTGCTTTGCCATTTAGTATTTTGTAAACCCATATTATGTCCCTCCCCTAAGTGTCTCTTTTTTAAACTGAATAGGCCTAGCCTCTTTAGTCTCTTCTCTTGTGGAAGTCTCCATAACGCTAAGTACAACATCCTTGTTGCCCTTCTCTATACTTCTCTAGTTCTTCTACATCCTTTTTAAGGTGTGGAGACCAAAAACTGGGCACAGTATTCAAGGTGTCATGACTTTATACAGGGGCATGATAATACTTTCAGTTTTGTTTACAGTTCCCTTCTTCATAAACCCTACCATTTCATTTGCCTTTTTGATGGCTGCTGAGCACTGAGATGATGTTTTGAGTGAACTGTCCACAGTGGCGCCCAGATCTCTTTCCTGTGTGGTAACAGCTAATGTAGAGCCTATCATACTATAGGTATAGTTTGGGTTATTTTTGCCTTTGTGCATCACTTTACACTTATCTCCATTGAATTTAATCTGCCATTTGGTTGCCCATTCGCTCGATACTGCCAAATCCTTCTGTACTTCCTCACAGTCTGCCTTGGTTTTTACCACTTTGCATAATTTTGTCATACACAAATTTGGCCACCTTGCTATTCTTTCTCCCGCTTTTCCAGATCATTTATGAATATGTTAAGTAGCACTAGTCTCAACACAAATCCCTAGGAGACCCTGCTACTTACTTCTTTCCATCCTGAATAATGATTATTTATACTCACTCTTTGCTTTCTATCTTTAAGCCAGTTTCTAATCTACAAGTGGATGTTCTCTGTAACCCCATGAATACCTGGCTTGGTTAAGAACCTCTGATGTTGGACCTTGTCAAAGGCTTTTGAAGTCCAAATATGCTATGTCAACTGGATCACATTGATCTACCTGCTTACTGACACCCTCAGGGAACTTGAGTACGTTAGTGAGGCATGATTTCCCTTGGACAAAGCCATGTTGATTTCTCCCCAGTAAATCATGCTCATCCATTGCTGAACAATTCTTTTTTTTTTAATATTGTCTCTGCCAGTTTTCCAGGAACAGAAGTTAGACTCATGAGCCTGTAGTTCCCTGTGTCTCCTCTAGAGTTTTTTGGGGGGTTTTTTTGTTTTTTTAATATGGGCGTTACACTGGCAACCCTCCAGTCCTCTGGTACAGAGGCTTTTTTTACTGATAGGTTGCATGCTACAGTTATGAGCTCAGCAATTTCTGATCTGAGCTTCTTCAGGCTCATAGGGTGAGTGCCATCAGGTCCTAGTGATTTGTTACTGTTTAGCTTATCAGTTTCCTTTATGACCTTATCTATTTCTCAGTCTTATTACAGTTTTGCATTTGATTTGCCAGTATTTATGCTCTTTTTGATTTTCCTTATTAGGATTTGACTTCCACTTTTTGAAAGAAGCCTTTTTTCTGCGTATTGCCTCTGTAACTGTGCCATTAAACCATGCTGGCTTTCTTTTGGTCTGCTTTCCATTTTTGCTTTGTGGTATGCATTTGCTCTGTGCCTCCAATATGGTGTTCTTAAGGGCTAGGGACAGACATTATGCATATACCGGTTTAAGTGATCAGAAACTGGTTTAAACCTGTAACAGAACAGATGTTCAGTGCATATAAACCAGTTTGAGAATGGCTGAAATCGGTTTGAGATAAACCTGGTTGAAAGTAGTATCAGATTTGATCCTAATTTGGGTCAAACCAGTTTATGCCTGTCGCAGACCCTTTGCTGATTTAAGATGCATTGGACTCCCCTGGCATCTTGGGATGCTTTCTGAGCTGGCCCCTCCCCTCTGCTCCCTGGTTGCAGCTCCAGCAAGACTGCGGTCTGCTCTCCCTCCCTGCCCCCCACTCCCTGCTAAGCAGAAATTCCCCCCTCCCCTCTGCCTTGCAGAGAGGTGTCTGTGTATTAGGTAGCAGACCACATGCTGTCTATGGTCCATGCTTAATCAGCAGGTAGAATAAACAGGTGGCTGGTAATGTCCCTTTGTTGTTTTCTTAATGGAGTGATAAACACAGTTAGAGGTGATAAACGCTGTTATCAATTCCCTGCTGGGTTGTCCTGCTGGGGCCTGGGCACCCCCCACCCCCTCAGCTCAGTACTATGGAAGGGAAGGGAGGGCTGCTGTAGCACCCCCCAGCTTCTAGCCTGAGCCACTGCAGGCATATGCTGGCATTTCTGGGATGCCTGTACAGTTACAAAACGATTCAGCCTAGCCAGGTTAGACTAACCTGCAAAGATTTAATCAATTCAGGCTCAGGCTTTTTGAATGTCTGTCCCAGCAGATCTCATGCTGCTTGCAAGTGCTTCACCTTCTTAGGGGGGGCGCTTTTAATTTCTAGCTAGCTAGCTTCCTCATTTTGGTGTAGTCTCCCTTTTTAAAGTTAACAGCTTTTGTCGGTTTTCTTCTCGTCTCCCCTCCTACATGGACATCAAACCCAATTGCATTCTGGCAACTATTGCAGGGTGACTCACTAAAACACTTTGCACTAAGCCCTGGGTACTATTTAGGACTAGGTCAGGAATGGCCTTTTATTTTGTAGGTTCTAGGACCAACTGCTCCATGAAGCAGTCTTTTATCACTTCAAGGAATTTGGTCTCTGCATCCTGGCCTGATGTAAATGGACTGGGTCAATCTAACAGATAGTTGAAGTCACCCATTATTACTATGTTTTCTGCTGTTACGCTTCTCTAATCTCCCTTAGCTTTTCTAGCTCGCTGCTGCCTTCCTGGTCTGGAGGTTGATAGTACATGGCCAAACTTACTTTCTTCTATTTAAACCTAGAATTTCTGTCCATAGAGATTCTATACTACCTCTCTTTTCAGTTGAAAAATCTACTCTATTTGATTTGATGCAGTTTTTGATGTGGATGTGCCACTCTCCCATCAGTGCAACCTACTCTACTATTCCTGTATAATTTGTATTCTGGTATTACAAGATTCCATTGATTGATTGATTTTTCTTTTTTTAATTCCACCATGTTAATATCATTACTTACTGCTAAACATTCAAGTTCCCCCACCTTTAATCTTAGAACTTCTAGTATTAGCATAAAAACATGTATACTTTTTATGTTGCCTGGTTGGCTTCTTCTGTGTGACCTTTTAAAAGTATTGTGGATTATTTTATTTGCTTTGAGAAGCTTCCCCACCCCCACAATTGTACAGGCATTTCAGGTTCAAAATTTGACCTCAGATACACATAGGAAATTATAGACTTCCCTGTTGGTTTCTTTAAGGAGCACATCCCTTACCCTCTTCTAGCCCAGGAGTCTTCCATTCTAGTCTCTTCATCTTCCCCTTTCTCAGCATTATAGTTCCTTCTTCCCACCCTTATTTCCCCATCTGTGTTGTGTTTGGTTTTCTCATGTGCAAAATTTGACAGGTACTGACCTCTCAATTTGGAGCATGCATAGATTGACTTAAATCTGGAATATTTTAGTGCAGAACATAATTTAAAATGATGCAAAAATAGAGTTTTATGGGTTCTTTTTGCTGCTTTTTCAATTATGCCTTTTAAGCACTTACATGCTAGGCAAAAGTTGTGTTTGCAGTTCATTTTTTGTGACTTGTTTCTCATGACGTATTCCTTTCTTATGACAGGTTGCTGAATGCAATAAAGCCTGGACTGGTAAAAAAGATCAATAGACTGCCGACCCCTATTGCAGGCTTGGTGAGTATCTTAGAAATAAATCTTCCTGTATTTCTTCTGACATCCTAATCGCATGACAGCAGTAATTTTAATTCTGTAATGTAGTCTAAAGATATTTGAATTCTTCTATCATGCTAAATTTGGACACTCCTACTGAAATGTAAAGTGTAAGTGTAGCCTCCTGGAGGCATTCCAATGTCTGCTTCTTCCCTGGCAGTGGGAGCAAGTCTTTGGTTGTATCTCTTTCAGAGGAAGGTGCTGATCCTGAAGGATGTGTTCTGGAGTCCTGCTTCTCATTTTAATAAGTGGCATTCTGAATGCCGTTTCTTTAAAGTGATACTTGGTGCTGTAACACTGTTTAATTCATTGGTGGGCAAATCTTTTTGGCAGGCATGCCACAAGTTAAACTCTGTTGCCTGCCTGTGTGCTACTTCAATGATCTGTTGTTCCGCTCCTTCCCCACCTGATATGTTGCTCTTCTTTCTCCTTCCTGCCTTAACCTGCCACTGTTCTCTATGCCGGACCTGCCACAACCCACACAAAGTGCACCTGCCACTTGTAGTATGTGTGCTATGAATTGCCCACCCTGGTTTAAACACTTTAAAAAGAACATACAACTTAGTCCTGCTGCCTCATTTAACACTTATCAACTTCCCTTTCAAAGGAATAGAATGGCTTTTGGTAAAGAGGAAGTTACATTTTCATGTCATGTATTTTATCTGCTGTTATGTAAGTATACTAAAACCAGCCGATAACATTCCCAGCAGGATCTAAAGAGTGATTTCAAATTGACTTAAAAGAGAAAGTAAAAGTTGCCAGTCATCAACAGAAACCTCTTTAGAAACCCTTGCATTTTGACTTGCAGTTAAAGCTGTTCTGCCATTTGTGTAAAAGTTTTACACAAGTGTGATGGATAGTTAAAGTGCTCTCCATAGATCCAACAGAATCAGACTTTAACTGCTGTTGTCCACTTATTAAAATAAGGGTTTTTTTCTTTGCAATAGTGATACAACAGCTTATGTTTATACAATGTAGATAATAACTTTTTCTTCCCAACTGTACCACATCATGTTCCTGGAGAAAACTTGTAGTCCAGAAACAGCTGCCCCTCTTAGCTAGTAGACTGCTGCACCTGAGGGACATTCCTTTTTTAATCATAAGATCTTGTTGATTATATAAGCTGCAGGTGGCTGGAGATCTATATAGTACTAGGGGGAATGAACTGGAAATAAATGTATATGACTAACCCTGGTGCATATACATGAGGAGTGGAAATGACCTCTGGAAAGTTCATATTTTTCCCATTATTTTTACTTGATTTTTAGCTACAGATACTGTAGTTCTAAAAGCACAAACTCAAGGAAAATAGGGTAAATTTAAAAAAAAGATGTGTTTATCGTGCATGTATTTTGTTGATGCCTTTATACTGTTCCAGGTCATCAGTGGTCAAAATATTTCTTTGGTAGTTGCTCAAGTTTGATGAACCTTTCATGTGTTCTTCCTGTTGCATGCACAATAGCTGAAGCAATACAGGTATCCAATAGAAAACTGGGGGAAACAGATCAGTTTTTGATGCTGCCCCCCCAGAGCAAAATCTGAAACATTCATGTAGTTTACTAGTTTGAATGCTTGGGAGTATTTATTTTTTGTTCAGCCTCTACATCAAAAAATAAATAGTCAGACCTAGTAAGTACATATGAAACATACAGCTCTAAAAGTCTCAAGGTTCCTGTAATATTTTATTTTGGTCCTGTAAGAGCAGATAATTAAATGTGTTTGTATCCAAAAGAGCTTCGTGGTAGAGACCTCAAGCCAGTCATTAGGAGGTACTGAGCACTTCAAAATAAGGCCAGGAACTCTTGAATGACTGTACTTTTGCCCATATAGGCCTGTAGCTAGTATTTTACAGGCTTCTCAGAAGTTATGCAGCATCACCGGGAAGTTTTGTGTGTACAAACTGAGCTCTCTTAGCTGGAAAGTTCAGTCAGTCTCAGGTTACCCTGAAATATGTCTTGTCTGCATGCACCTGCTTCTGGCCATCAGAGTTTCTGTAAAGAGACGATATCTACCTCTGCCGCACTGCCAGAGCACGTTCACATCCTTGCACTTCTCCATGTGAGGAAAATCTGCAGGTACTGCAGCAGTCGATAGAAAGTGTTGGAGTGTCTGCATATGCCCCTGCTGGTGACAGTAGACTGGAGGGTTGTGCCATTGTAGAAAAGCTTTGGGTGATGCCAGAACAGCTGGTTGATTTTTTTTCATCTAGATTAACTGGGAACGACGTGATTTGTTCACAACCCTGTGGATACCTAAACAATCACCATGCTAACTGAAAGTTGCATTTCATATTGTGGAAGGAGTTAAGGACAAGGGGACCTTGTCCTAGGCCCTGTTGCACTAAGTAATGCCAAGACGATCCTTGCCCCATTAGAAATCTCAATCTAGGATATGAACAGCAGGTGAGTATGGTCAAAACTACAGCATGGTTCTGATCTGCTTTCAACTCCAGGGTGGTGCTTGCTTCTGTTAACAGCTCATCAAAACTTGCACTTTGCTCTAATCAAATGGAGCTAGGAACCAAAGCAGTAAGTTGTTCAGACCTGGAATCAGTAACCCATAATGTTTGAGTGGATACCAGATTTGATGAAATACTGTATTTTCCCATTTTTTTTATTTTAATAGTCTGAAGATATGGCACCCATACCAAAATAATCCCATTTACAGAGAACCGCAATAATATATTGAATCAATAACAGTGACTTAATACTTCATGGAAGAAGCTGCACATTTCCAGGAGGTTATTTAAGCAAGGATCTAATATTTTGGATGTCCTTTGTAGTTCATGCTGTCAGCCTTCCAGAAACTCAGTTTCCATGTATTTATTTATGGAAGCTTGAGAAGGTATTTTGTCTGCTTTACTAAACAGAAGCCCAGCTGAAGATACAGATACATTATTGTTATAATGAAACAATATTAGTTGAGAATTTGATTTTAGCAATGTTACAGAACTAGTGGTTTTTGACTGAGTTAAAGCAACTGTTTCATTTAATAGATTTCATAGATGTTAGGGCTGGAAGGGACCTTGTAAGACCACTGAGTCCAACCTCCTGCCCAAGGGGCAGGCAGATAAGCATCCAAATGTTTCTTGAAAGTGTCCAGAGTAGGTGCTTGCATCACCTCTGAGGGGAGTCTGTTCCAGGTCTCGGGGGCTTGGACAGTAAACTGTTATGTCTGCTTTCTGTAGTATTCATATTGGACAGTTTAAAAAAAATCAGCTTGCATCAATAGTAATTTCATTGCAGCCTGTTGTACCACATTTTCATTAAATTTAAGGAAAATCAAAGTATCTCAGCACTGGTAAATGCTGATACTTAAGTGGTGACCACTGTATATTGTTTAGTATGGGCTGGTTATTTTTCTTGTACATCACTTCTTGATTTTCCTTCCTGTCCCTGAATAATGTCATTCTGTGAGAAAAGAAGGGAAAAAAGGTCTGTCTTATCTTTTGTTTGACAGGGTTTTACAGAGTTTATAGTATTACTTCAGTTCCTCACATTATCCCCACGGGAATTAGACATTTGCTTCGGAGCCTGTGTGAAAAGAAAGAGTCAAATATAATAGTAGGAAATAGCCAAGGCAAAGTTGAGAGGCAGAACTTTTGTTAATGATTTGGCTAATGTTTCAACACTTAATGAAGCAAAGTCTGTGTACTGTGAGATCCAATTTCCGTCTTATGTACTAAGTATGTTTTTGCATTTATGTTCTTCAGCGATGAGAAAAACAGCACCACAAAAGTCACCTGAGATCATGGTTAACACAACAAAAGGAAGAAAACCATAACAAACTGTGTTAAAAAGAGCAGTTCCCTTGCACAGAGGCTTTTTATTAGATTATTTTCTTAGGAAGTTTATCTTGGCAAAGAAGTCTTCAGGAATTTGCTAGAAACCCTGTTACAAGTAGTAGTGCTGGTCTGCTGCTCTTTGTGATTTGCTTCTAGCACTGAACTGTTGCATATATTTCTTTGTTTGTGGTTCTAAGTTGCCTCAAAGATAGAGCAAAATCATTTTGCTTTTAAGGATTTTTACTTGTTAATTTAAAGTGAAGAGTGAAGTGAAGAGTTTTTCCATCAGATAAATGTTAGTTTGAACACATTGTTTATATAGTACAATATTGTTCATGAGCTTGACAAGAAAAAAATTACATAGCTAGTCAATGCACAGAATGTTAATATAGGTGTACATTGTGAAGTGATATATAAATAAAATTGTCATAACTTTCAGTTAAAAAAAAAAAAAAAAAAAAAAAAAAAAAAAAAAAAGCTTCTTTCCTGCTCTATTTCCTTCTTTTTAATTTCTCACCTCTGATTTATTTTTTGTAACATTCCCTCATTTGTGAAAGCAGCATATTTCTCTTTTGTAGGCTCTAGACTCACAGTACAGGATAGCTTTTCCATTTCTCTGTTCCACGCATGGTTTATTACTGAGGCATTATTGTTTCTGAACCAACTTGTCTCCCAGCCCAGCTCTACCTTTCTGCTTAAGTTGAGTCACTGTGGTTTTAGATGGCTATGAATTTTGCTTCTATTAAATTCCCATGTAGATTTTGGCATTCGAGTCCTCAAGCATTCCTGTGGGTATTGATGGCAGGTGAAATGGTAAACATCCCCTTAGCAAAGTTCTGCAATTGTTGGCCATCTATTCATTATATAAGCAACTTCTTTGCTTAGTAACTGGCTTCTTTACACCTCCCATGCCTGACCCTAGTTCTGACCTCTGAATATTTGATTAAAACACTACCAGACTGATGCTTGACAGTGGTGCTGTGTGTTTTGGCTTATCAGGTACTGTGATGCATGTTAGTTCCCAGCTCTGGAAGAATGTCTTTTTTAAATACTCACTTCTGTTCTTTTGTTTTGTTTTGTATTGTTTTGCCCTTGCTTGCACATTTTAGCTTCAAGTCCTCAGGACTGTTTTCCAAATGCATTTTCCATTCTGTTTTTTCTTTCCTTCTGATTGCTGTCA